TTCAAAGAGTTTTAAATCATTCCGAGCCACTGATGCTTCAAACATTGATAAACAGCATCTTGTGTGTGTAGTGCTTATAAAATTTGTATAAATGTAGCAAAAATGCTGTTTTCTCTTTAAACGAAATGCGCCCTGATGCATAAAAAATAAAATAAAAAAATAGGAGTATGCATAATGAGTAGGACCAATGACATCGGACCAATTCAACTTAAGACCTATAGTGTCCCTAAAAAAGTTGAGATCAAACCTACGCCCTTGGTTTACTAGTTTATTTTTTGAGTATGCAAGAGCTTTTAAATTTGCTCTGAAATCTTGTATTTACATGCTCTTTGCACTCCACTGTACTTTTGCGCTCTTATGTTAGTCGTTTAGAGGGTCTTTAGATTGTGAGAAAAACAATACTTCAAGTTTTGACCAGTAAATGTTTTATTATATTTTATGAACCTCTGTAGTCCAGGGAACACTTATTCTGTATTTTTAAATCAGTTTTCAGGAGTTATAGCTGTTTTTATTTCTTTTTATATGTGTATTTTACATTGTAGCATGCTTACTGCTGTGTTTTTTTTTAGGTAGACAATTTTATGATCTGTCCAGGGACAACAGATTAAAAAATAGCCTTTTGGCTAATTCTGGTGCATTTGCAGGAATGGTTTTTAATGTACACTGTCCCTTACAAATAAAAAAATAAAAATAAATCAATTAATCAAGGGTTAAAACATTAACATTATAACATCTAAAACCGCATGACTGTTTTATCCTAATTCTCAAACCATGCAAAAAAAATTAATAAAAATGACCTTGATAACTGTAAATTTGACTGATAAAACAGTTTTTTTGTTGTTTTCTTTATCTTATTTTTGTAACATGGGAAGCCTTCCTGTTTCTTTGGGTTCTCTCCTCTTTGACATGTTTTAAACGATTCTGCTCCCCAAGTGTCTGGAGCGGTCGGATCTTTGCACTTCTTATGCTTTGAGTGGCAAAAGGCTATTGAAGAGCGGAGGAGTAAAGGAGGGGAAGGAGATGGACAGACAGTGGAGACAGCCCTACGTCAAATCAATGTAATCAGACCTCTTATCAGTCCGCCATTGGATGTGAAGGGAGCCCCAGACAGGGAGAAAGGGAGGGGGTGGCTGTGCTGGAGGGGAAGGACAGATGTTTGCTTGCATTCAGATGTCCACACACCTATCTCACCTTCCTCTATTCTCCTCCATTGCCCCCATATTGACTCTAATGAGTTCCCCAGCTTACGTGTTTCCAGGTTTATTTAAAACCACGGCCCCCAGAGGAACCCATAGGAGGCCGCTGGGGCCAGTCTTATCGCAAACAGCCAAAGCAGCTCCATCTGGGCCCTGGGGGCCCAACTCCAAACACATCGATAGACCGACCGGCTCGTCCTTGACGGTTCGACAAACAAAAAAAGGACTTTGTTTTTTTCTGGGGGGATTAAACGAATCAAAGCAGCAGCCTTATTAATGATTATTCAGAGTTATTAATGTTTGATTCAGATTGCTGAACTTGGACTTGTTTTGTTTGGTTTTTATTATTTAAAAAAAAACAGGCTCATTGGAAAACATCATAAGACTTTTGAACTTCTTTTTTTTGTTTTAGGAGGAAATGAAAACATTGATTAAAATCAATTACTCATTAAATTCTAATGTCACGTAAGTAGTCGCACAGGAGCTACATGAATTTTTGATTTTTACTTTCATTAAAGGGCGAGCCTCAATCAAAGTCCGCTTTAAACAACAATCAATCATAAATTCACGATCCTGCTGCTCTGCGGTGAAACCCTGTGGCTCCCTGAAGGCGTTTAGTGGCCCTTTAACTTCATCGCCTTGAGAAAAATTCTCATTCCTAATCCTCAACTTAACACACTCATTGAAAATGTACAGTTTTCATGAAATTTTCTGTTTCACCCTCCTGGGACTCACAGCTAGCTCCTACCTGTAGTATCAAATAAGAAGATACATGCATGTTAAAAATAAATCCTTTACGCAGATGCTCCCATTCAGCTTCTCTCGTTCTGCCAAGCATCCTCCCAAAGGAGACATTGATCAAGTCTTCATTGAAGGAAAAATCAAATTGGCTATTACAGAAACACAGGAGTCAAGGCCATTGAATGGATGAAATGAGCCATGAATGGAGCGAGAGGGAAGAGAAGAAGGCAGGATGGATAGGGGGCTCTTTTGTTCAAAGAGGTGCATCTGCTCAAGAGAGGAGAAAGATGGGTAATAAGAGACTCAGAGGATTGTTCCTGTGGCAGGTGATTCATCCAGCTCCGTGGAGCGGAGGAGAAAGACGAGGTGAGGCTGGTGAATGGAAGAGTGAGGATGGAGGAGATGAGCGTGGAAATGGGGGGAGATGATCTGCAGGCATGTGCTGAGGCATTGTAGTTCTGGTTTTTGTGTTATAACAAGCTGCCTGTCAGATGATGAGATCAGAGGCATTTGTTGCTAACCGGTCAAAGACACCGCCTGCTAAAAAAAAGAAATAAAAAAGAGGTCTACGCTTACTCTGCGTAATAATAAATAACTGGGTTGGAAATCAAACTGAAATCCTTGCAGCTCTTCTTTTGTGAAGGTGAGAAATGAATGGGCGACGAGGTGCCATGCTTTTAACATTAGCTGTAAGGAAATACAGGTGAGCATATTCCTGCTATTCTATCGTTTAACTTTTCGACATGGAAGATAGAAAAGAAGCAGTGACTTTAAAACAATTTCTCATACTTCAAGTGGGGAGTCTGGAAGAAAGCAACAATCTGGGGTGTACTCTACATGGAGTGCGCTGTGAAAAAGGGAGTTTAAAATCAAGAAACTAAACTAAATTTTAAGGAAAAGCAACTGAAACCAGATTAAATTGATCCATCCATGCAGCAACATGGTTTTACTTAATAGGATTTCTTGATTTAAGATTTTAAAATCTAGTAATAAGCATTGAACTCTTAACTTTAAAATTTTATGTATGTATGTTATGTTATAAATATACGTTTGTTTGTATTTTTTATCTTGGTAAAAAACAAATAATAACAATCTGGGACAGAGCTTCTACACAGCTTCTCAGACTGTCTGACCCGGAGCAGAATATTGGAAATATCTGCATCTCCAGCTGCTCATGTTAAAGGCAGACTGAAAAATCAATTGTTATGTATTAAGAAAGGGGGTCAGGAAATTCATTTGACTATTTATACTTAAAGGTATATTGGATTATTATACTTTTATTGTGCAATTATTGCATATTTAGGTGGATTATAAATAAAAAAGATTTAAAAAGAAAAACTTTAATCATGAAAAACAAGTTGTTTTTCTGGGTGGATCATCAAAATAAGTGGTCCTCCTAATTGTGAATCATTCTTGTGATATGTTTACCTAAAGCCGTCCTATGTGCTCGTCCTCATTTTCACTTACCAGTGGTGAGTCTGACATAGTGAAAAAATTTGGAAATCTTGTTTTGGAACGTAAGCTTGCATGAGTGATGCAAACAGCAACTCTTAAACAGAGCGCGCTTGACGAGAAACGGGCTTGTGCAAGATCTCGCACGTATATAACAGGCGTTCCCTCTCAGGCGCAGCTACAGGGTTATGCATGTACATTTATTTCTTTTTAAGTGGAGAGGGCGGGTCTTTTCAAAAATTCGCTAAGATCCTCCACTATACCTTTGTTTATCAGTGCTCTTATTTTAAACGGCCTAAATTAAAACTTGCTGTAAGCAATTATTTTCATATTGATGTCATTTCTGAAAATTATCTAAACTTCGATCCCATACACAAACAGGTGAGTATAATTAAATGTTTTTGTTTGATTTATTTGGTATTCCAAATATATTTTTGGATACGAGTGAAGCGGTGTCTTACTTTAAGCTTGGAATATAAAGAGATATTGATGCCCCACCAGTACAGACGTCCCAAAGAAAGGATTTACCTTCATTTCTGACAGGGATGGATAATATTTCAGCAGCAAGAGCTAAGAGCCCTTAACTGGACTCTGTTATGCAATTGAAAGAAGCGAGTATCGGCTTTGACCCATACCTGATGCCTTGACGACTGTAAGTGATAAACATAAGACAGGAGATATGTGGAGGCGGTGGCCTAGTGGTTAAAGCATTGCACTTGGGTCCCAGAGGTTCAGGCTGCCATTCGGTCTCCTTGAGCAATAGTCAGAGTGGCAGACTTCAGACTGCTTCCTGGGTGCCGGACAATGAGACCCCCCGCCCCTCCCCCCAAAAAAAAGTAAATTAAAAAAGTCAGGAGATTTTTTTAAGAGTGCAAATGTTGCTAATGTTATTTGCTTAACAAGTAAAATCGCTGAAAGTCTTTGCTGAAGTTTTTCTTTAGTTTTCCTAAATGCAAACATGCCAGTCACTGAAACCATAAAAGGTACAAAAATCTACTCCCTATCATGGCTGCTAACTTCAGTGATTAAATAATTGTGTCAGCCCCATGTTGTTCACCTTAGAAAGGTAATTTGTTCCCCAGTCCACCATCAGCGCTAATTGTCTAACTAGAACCCAATGAGAACATCCACTCAACATTTCTCCTGTTCTATGCTTTGTTGTCAAGGATATTATTTCAGAGAACACCGTGACAGCCCGGTTCAGGTGTAGCTGCTGATCTTTATCAATGGCGTTCATATTCGTCGCAGAGACAGCGTGTCCCCAGAACTGTGCGCTGCAGGAACACAGACCGGCTGACGTACAACAGCAGGAACGCAGGGGGTGCTTGATTGATAGCCTTCCTTTTTTCCATCTTTTCTTTCTCTCTAGGCGTGTATCAAAGCTCTGCAGTGACACAGTTTAACTCACAGGTCCACTTTTTGCAGGGTGGCAAAACGTAACAAGAGCCGTTATCCTCAGGGAGAAAGGGAATGAAAGGTGGAGGAAGGTTAGATGAACCAACAAAGCTGAGGAGTCTGCAGAGTTTCTACATTTTCTTCCCTGAGTGATCCGTATTTGGCTGCTATGAAAGTTACCTTCTCACTTAAATTGTTTGTTTTTGATGTACGCAGGGTTGAGCAACGCTGAGTACCAGCAGCAGGGGAAGGCCACGTGCGTCAGCGTCAACTGGACTGTGGGCGACCCGCAGCTGGAGGTGATCAACACAGCGACGGGACGGCGATGGGATTCGGGGACGCAACCACGCCTCTGCAAGCACGCCCTGTTCGCCCGCTGGACCAGACTGTACCGTAAGGTGAGGGAGCATCTCTCTGGAATCAGGCCAGAGGACGGTCCAAAGCAAAACTCTATCCAGTGTCAGGTCTAAGCACCTAAAACATGGGGGGGGACAAGGAACTCAGACTTGCAGTCTCAGTAAACATGTCCTCCAAATCTCAGGGTTCAGTCAAAGTTTAAGCTGTTGAAGCTGTTCACCAAAGTTCAGCAGGTTGAGTGCTGCTCGTAAATCAACCACAACCTCCCCAAAAGCAAGTCCACGAATCACAGTATACTTCACAAAAGGTGGCTATGAAAACATGCACATAGCACACAGCTTTATGCATGATAACACTACACAGATACATTTATATACAATTATTCTAACACCAGTCACTCACACTGTGGCAAAAGTAGGACTAAAGTTCAGGAGAAGCGGGTTTATAGTTGAAACATTAAAAAATATCCTTTTAAACATTGCATTGCTGTGGCTGGAATATTGTACAGGTACATCTGTGCAGAATATGGGCTGGAAACCCCAAGGTCAAAGTGGGAAACGCCTCCAAAGGTGGTAGAGAATGACCGAGCCAAGATCCTGTGGGACTTCCAGATACAGACGAATGGTAATGGCAAACCAACCTGACATTGTGATGGTGGACAAAGAGTAGAGGGAAGCAATTGTGGTTGACATAGCAATACCAAGTGACGACAACATCAGGAAAAAAGAACATGAAAATCTATAGAAATACCAGGGGCTCAGAGAAGAGCTGGAGGAAACCTGGAAGGTCAAGGCATCAGTGGTACCCGTGGTCATTGGGGCACTTGGGGCAGTGACCCCCAAACTTGAAGATATATATATATATATATTAGTGCTGTCAAAATTATCGCGTTATTATCGCGTTAACGCGAGGCCATTTTAACTGCGATAATTTTTTTAACGCGAGATTAACGCTATGTGGTTTTATGGTAAAATTTTCCAAGTACATCCCGCTGCAGCCTGCGGAAAGGCGGGGCTATTTTCCCCCAGTCTATGCATTTCTCATAGGCTTCTAGAGCGGAGCTCCTCAAGGGAAAAAGACGCTCATACACTGGGTGACGCTAGTGCCTTTTCTTTAAGCCCCACCACCAACAAACAAGTTGAGTGTCTGGTAACTAGTAGCAACCTGAAATACGCTGAGAAAACAGATTACTGAGGTGAAATGGAATCTGCTACGGCACACTTGCTGTCTGTGTACGCCACAGGTCGGTATCGTGTGTGTGTGTGTGTGTGTGTGTGTGTGTGTGTGTGTGTGTGTGTGTGTGTGTGTGTGTGTGTGTGTGTGTGTGGGTGGGTGGGAGGGTGTGTCTGTGTGTGGGTGTGTGTGTGTGTGTGTGTTCTCATTTTTGTTAAGAGGCTGAAAAGTAACTTTCTAGAGCATAGACTACCTCCATCTAGTGATGTCGGTCAATTGATTTTTATGTATTGATTGAAAATTGTTCATTATTATCTTGGTTAATTAACATCTAATGTTAACTGTACTACATTTTATAGCAGTAGGGTAAAATGCTTGTCTTTGTTCAAAAGACTGTATTAACTGTAAAGACTGTCTTTTACATCAGCCTGTTTTCAGGGCCTTTTTTTTGGCTACATATTTGTTATTTTTTGCTACATGCCTCCCCATCTTCTTGCCATATGTTTCTATGGCATAAATCAGTGTCTGTGACCTGTTTTCATAAAAAAAAAAGAACGTTGGCACAAACCTAGCCTGTATGTATTTTTTGTATGTCATCGAGAGTATTTCAATGATTTTCAATCAGAAAAAAAATTTGCGATTAAAATGCGATTAATCGCGAGTTAACTCAGGCATTGATGCGATTAATCGCGATTAAAAAAATTTAATCGATTGACAGCACTAATATATATATATATATATATATATATATATATATATATATATATATATATATATATATATATATAGTAGATTTATAACCAGAAACTTTTCTCCCTGATCTCTATCTCTACCAATTCGTTCACACACACATATGAAAGCAGACACACACAGAGCAGCTCAGCTGTCGTCCTGTACGGCTCAGTGGGCACAGTGAGATGCTTACTAAGCTAAGTTCGTGTTTTCAGCTCCTGAAGAAGCCAGTTCTTAGCAGAAAAACAGACTGTAGTGTAAAATGATTTGGGGAAATAAAACCACAGACCGGAGGTGCAGAGTTTCTAGTTGGGGTTCATGTTGTTTTCCGATTCACTTCTAGACGCGGGTGCTTTATTAAAGTATTAAAACGTCAGTATACAGACTCTCTTCATACGGTGCCCAGGGTGGAGCCAATGTTTTTTTTTTTTAAAGGGGGTTTCTGAAAAAAAGAATGAAACCAAAAACCATAAATTGTGTGAAATATCAAGTGAACAAAAGAGGCATGTTCTGCTTTATGATCCTTAGATATAGCAGATGAAATATATGATCAAATCCTAATATGAACAACACTAGAAGGGAACAGGTTTTCATTTTTACATCATCATTAAAAATAAAACTGTTTAAAGAAGAAGGAATTGGTCATAGAGAGTTAAAATGTATGGTTTCTATGCCAGTTCCTATCATCTATTTATTATTAATTTATTAAGTATTATGTCTTTAGTGCCAGGAGTTCTACAGAGGTGCTGGCTCCTGATGGCCCCCAAGACTCCATAGATTAGAATATTACTGAGTAAATTTTTATAAATGAAACAGTGTGTGAAGACAGACACAGATTGATGTGGTCAAGAATGTTTTAGAATAATTGATCAAGTCAAATAATCTGTTAACCTGCTAAACCAAAATCAACCAAAACGAAAAGAAAACAAAATGAAAAGCCTGAAAAATCCTGTCATGGTGGACAGAAGCCTTATTTTTACAGTAGGAGGCTGCAGTTAATGGGCTTAATGAAAGGTATGTTTAATATGTGCTTAAAGTTTGTTCATTTCAAAAGGTACCTTTATTCTTAAAGAAACTTTGTTTCTAATTAATTTATTAACTGTAACTGTAATGTTTTATGTAACCGAGGAACAAGCAGAGTTGCATAATCCAGGCCCAGAAGGTGCCTGTCTTGTTTTCCTTACCCTGTTAACTTTACCCAAGTCAAGTCAAGTCAGCTTTTATTGTCATTTTCTACATATGTACAAGACATACAAGGGAAATGAAATTAGGTTTACTCTCTGCAATATACAAATATACAAGAAATATACAAGACTGACATTTAAAAACTGACATAAAGTGCGGGACATGACAGGTAACAGTGGTAAGATAAATATAAGTATGAAGTATAAACATTACAATAAAAAGTAATAAAAACAGCAGCAATAGTTTGTTCCAGGCTGAGGTAGTGCAGGTAAGGTGCAGTCTCTGGTACAGTGTATGTGTGTGTGTGTGTGTGTGTGTGTGTGTGTGTGTGTGTGTGTGTGTGTGTGTGTGTGTGTGTGTGTGTGTGTGTGTGTGTGAGAGGTGTGTGGGTGTGTGTGTGAGAGAGAGAGAGAGAGACAGAGAGAGAAAGAGAGGGGCAGTCTTAGCTTCCTGTCTGCTTGGTGGCTGGAGCAGACCGTGTGGGGAGGGGGTGGAGGGAGTTCAGCATTCTGATGGCCTGGTGGATGAAGGTGTTCGCCAGCCGGGTGGTTCTGGACCGTAGGCTCCTGTACCTCTTTCCGGAGGGCAGGAGACGGATCAGGTTGTGTGCTGGGTGGGTGTCATCCTTCAAAATTGTGAGGGCTTTGCGGGTGAGGCGGCTGGAGTAGATGTCTTGCAGGGAGGGGAGAGGTGCCTTGATGATCCTCCCAGCTGTGTTCACTATACGTTGCAGGGCTTTCCTGTTGTAGTCAGTGCAGCTCCCGCCCCATACAGTGATACAGCTGGTGATGATGCTTTCAATGGTTCCTCTGTGATAGGAGGTCATGATGGCTGGTGGGGCACTGGCCTGATTCAGCTTCCGCAGGAAGTAGAGGCGTTGTTGGGCTTTCTTGACCAGTGATGCAGTGTTGGTGGTCCAAGAGAGGTCATCGCTGATGTGCACTCCTAGGAATTTAGTGCTGCTCACCCTCTCCACAGCAGCGCCATCGATGGTCAGTGGCAGGAGTCGGCGGGGACCTTTCTGGAAGTTGACAACAATCTCCTTTGTCTTGCTGACATTCAGTAGGAGGTTGTTGTCACTGCACCACTTGGCTAGGTGGTCCACCTCTGTCCTGTAGTGTGTCTCGTCACCGTTGGAGATGAGTCCCACCAGGGTTGTGTCGTCTGCAAGCTTCACCAGGTGGTTAGTGCTGTGGGTTGTTTTGCAGTCGTGTGTGAGTAGGGTGAAGAGCAGAGGGCTTAGCACGCACCCTTGTGGAGCTCCTGTGCTCAGCGTGATAGTGTCCGAGGTGTTGTTACCGACGCGCACAACTTGCGGTCTCTGGCACAGGAAGTCCAGCAGCCAGTTACAGAGGGAGGTGCTGAGGCCCAGTTTGTCCAGTTTGCATATCAGCTGTTGGGGTATAATTGTATTGAATGCTGAGCTGAAGTCGATGAACAGCATTCTCACATAAGAGTCTTTTTTCTCCAGGTGAGTGATGGCTGGGTGCAGAGCTGAGTTGATGGCGTCCTCTGTGGAGCGCCGGGGTCTGTATGCAAATTGAAAGGGGTCCAGGGTGGGGGGGAGGATGGATTTGATATGTGTCATGACCAGCCGTTCGAAGCACTTCATGATGATGGGTGTCAGTGCTACGGGACGGTAGTCGTTAACCCAGTTTAACCCAGTGATTAAACTGCATTTTGGAGCTGGAAATGCTTTTTTAAAATAATTTTTAGCTTCTAACATGGATTATCCACCCCTGACAACAAGAAATAGTTTAGCGTTGGGCGTGCAGGTGGCTCAGTGGTTAGTGCGCATGAGGTGGTAAGGAGACCTTAGTCCTCGAAGCGGCCGACCCGGGTTTGAATCTAACTTGTGGTGCTTTGCCGCAGCCTTCTGTCAGAAAAACGAGCCACTAGTCCTGTAAAAACTCAAAAAGAAAAAACAAAAAAAAAAAAAGAAATAGTTTAGTGTATAAAATACCTCTCAATTTACTTACTCTAGGAATACATTTTACCAGCTTTTGTTTACATCCACAGAGCTCAAAAAGACTAAGATTGGATGTTTTTCACAATTCGTTTTGAAGTGTTTCAACAGGCTCTGGTTTAGTTTCTGATCTGGACTTTGATTAGGCCGTTCTGATGTGCATATTTATCCTTCAACGTCAGCCCCTCCCATTGTAGCTCTGACTTTAGCTTTGGAGTATTTGTCGTGCTGGAAGTTGACTCTCAAGTAATTTGAAGTAATTTGAAGCCTCCAGTGGTTTTTATCTCCTTCAGAGTTCGCATAAACTTTCACTAGCTTCCCTGCGGATTAGAGATCGACTGATGCAGGTTTTGTAATGCCAACGCAGATACAGATTACTTATCTGCTGCCTTTTTTGTTTTTTAGACCTGATTTGCGAAGCCTAAACAGTTTTTTTTTCTTATTCTATTTGAATAATAAAAGTGATCATAAATGTTAGAAAAGACTTAATTTAAACAAAAAAAATTTAAAAACCAAACAAAACATTAACAACGTTTAGCGAATGGAGGGAGCAGCTGTACATACTCTCGGCTACTGAATGCCCCGAAGACATGAGCGTAGGTAATAACACGAATAAAGGCTAGTGTATCGGGTTACCTCTACTGCTGATGCTACACATCTGAACAGCTTCATGCTGCCACTACCCTACTCCACCATGAGGGGGTGCAGCAATACATTTTTGCCACAAACAGCATTTTGCTCGTAGCCAATCATGTTGAATGTTGTTCTCCTCTGATTCCAATTATTTTCTTTCTTTCCTCCATGGTTGGTGGAAAAAAAAAAAAAAAAAACATGCTGATGTTTCATGACGTTCCTGGAAAAATCAACTCTTTCTTGCCTCTGTTCTGTACGTGGGAGTTTTGTGCGATGCACAAAGACCGTTGTCTTGGTAACAGATTCTCCCACCTGAGCTGTGGACTTCTGCAGCCCTCCATTTATCCCTGAGGCCTCCACAGAACAGCTGTATTCATACTGTGATTAAATTACAGGGATATTAACTCTAGTTCTACATTTGATACTGTTAGTTAAAGAGAGAAAATTGTGCTTTACCTAAAATTTGAATAAAAAACTTTGAATTTTGTTGTTTGTTGGAAAAAGGTTAATATTATTGCTCCAGGGATTGTATCATAAAATCCCAAAAGGTCTTCATGTTTATTAGATCCTGTAGTGCAGGCTTGTTAGGATGTGAACGTCCCACTAATTTAAACATTTAGTTTGACCTTGATTTTGATGACCTTTCAGAGTTGGCTGGCCCATGCAGCAGGAGTTACTCTGGTTTTAGCTTAGCTGCATCCACTGCCATCAGAAATCTCCAGCTTCAAGCAGGAGATCCAGAAACATTAACCACAGAGAGGCTCTCCAACAATCAAAAGCCACACATGTGTATTAAAATCCAAATCACAGCGCACTGAGGAAATGTGGAATTTCCTCTCAGCTGCAGATAAATTTGTCGTCTTGGCAACATCTGCCGTCTGTGCGCCTTATCTGAATCTGGCAGCTCGGATCTTCACCTGCCGCACTTTCATTTCCATTCTGAGCCTTTATGTAACCGACACCGCCTGCGTCGGCAAATGGCGAGCCGTTAACGCATAATGACTATGAAACCATAATTATTTGGAGGAGTACTCGAGGAGGCCCCCACCCTAAGTGCTCCCCGCGCGCCGCACATACGGGCCACGCAAGAGCAGTCGCACTAATCTCCAAAAGAAACTTTTGCTCTCCTCGCCTCCCTCTCCCTACTTGTCTCTCTGCTGATCTTCACTGCCCCCCCCCCATGACTGTAAGAAAGCACAAAAAGCACAGAGAATGTGCAATTGCTTGTGAAATTTAAATGGGGAGATTACACAGCTGTTGAAGCCCCCACCAGTCCCCACATCCACCCCCTCCCATAGCCACCCAAATGCATTTGTGCCGGCTCATTCGTTTTGTTTTGCTCGCCCCTTTTCCTCTATTCCCCCCACCCCAACCCTGACTCAACCTTCTGCACCTTACAGAGCCCAGCAAAACAAGAAAACCACACAAATTACCATATTTAATGAAGGTTCTGATGTAATAGGAACCTTATGATATACTGAATAGGAAAGATGGGTTATATTTACACATAGAAATCTGAAAAGTGTGGCTTGTATGGGGTAAGGTAGCTGTTTATTTATTAAGTGTCAGCGTCTTTTGATAAACATGCGTAGAGTTAAGACTTCTATTTGTTCTTTGCTGTCAGCTCATACATGCAACACCAGATGTTTCATATGTGAGAAAACAAGGTACAACTTTGCAACAATAGAAGTACAAATAAATAATTTATGGGTATGAATCTACAACCCAGGATGAAGCTGGTACACTCCTTTCCAGTTGGTGGCAGTAGTGCAGCTAAAGGTTGGTGGCCAGGCACTGTTGATTGAAAAGAACGGGAAGAAGATGAAAACAGAACCATTTGCCCTTGTTTTTAAGTCTGACCATCTTTCCCCACCAATCCAGGCCATTTCACAGTACCCACAGCATGATGCTGCTGTCACCATGTTTCCCAGCAGCCATGATGTTTTTTTTGGGTGAGATGAAGGGTTAGTTTCCCTTCAGACTTGAATAAAGACCAGGAGGTTTCGGCGTACCAACTCACATTTTCTTCCAAATGTTTGGTCTCCTACATTTTTGAGTCCATCTCAAATATCTGTGACAGATTTTTTAGCTCCACTTGCTGAAAAGTTCTCCAATAATTAGATGCTCAGGTATTATAGTAATCAGGAAATGAATGGGTTGCCCCCTCTGGGTTAGGGAGAGCCTCAACCAGAGGAATTTAAGCATTTTGGAAGTGAGATGGATAGATGGATCGGGCCCACTGCAGCTTACTGTATTACACACCTGGTCTGCCTCTTCACCACTCAAACGCTTTTCTAACTTTTCAAATACTTGAAAAGTAACGGTTCTGGCTTTTATACATTCAGGAAGTAGTGGCATGGAGTAGAGCCAGGCAGAGTGGAGCTGGTGGAAAAGAAGAAATGCCACAAAGCTAAAGTATCAATTTACCAGTCTGCAACTGAGCTGAAGAATCTACAGAGAGAGATTAATGTTTCTGTTTTCCCATTATATCTCTTACCTCCATGGTTTGAACTTGAAAAAGTCGACACAAGAGTAAAAAGAACTCAGACAAACTGACCCCTCACTGTTCAGATTTAGTGATGCTTTAAAATGTCAACAAGCTCTAATAAACCAGAATCCTTCTCCAATGCACTTTTATCTGACTCCCCCCTGCTTTCCTGTTTGTGTTTTTTCTTCTTCTCAGCTGGGGGTCCACATCTCCTGCTCAGCAGCGAACCGGGAACCCATGTACAGCGAGGCCAAGAATGCGGCGCGTCCTTACCAGACAGCCAAGCAGCAGTGGTTCAAGTCTCTGCAGGAGGCGGGCCTCGGTACCTGGGTGAAGAAGCCGCCGGAGCAGGAGCAGTTCCTGCTGTCCGCCTAAGCGAGTGTGTGTGTGTATGACGTTTATTTTTGTAGGAAGAGATGTCAAACCTCCCAGTTTCATTCCAGGAAGTGTAGGCCTACCCTCCAAACTAAAGATTACCGACTCATCCGTGTGTCTGTGGTTCATTCTGTTTTGTGTCGCCTTTTCATTCCGTCACCGAAACCACTGCCGGTCAAACATGAGGAACACTGGAGTTCAAACACTGGACTTTTTCCTCCGATGTTCCTTGAACACAAACACACAGGTTTGAGCCAACAGCCATCTAAATGCACCCCGTTCCCTTCTGTGGCTGTCAAGGAAAAGGGGTTGGGGTAACCTTGAGCGGAATGAAAGGCAGCCGCTATCTTGTCATCAGCTATTTCCGGGCCCCGAGGCTCCTGCTGAGGAAAGGAGCCACAGGGGAGGGAGAGCGAGACAGACAGAGAAAGGGGAAGGGAGAAAGGAAGAAAAAAAAAGAGGGTCTACGTCCAATTACGGGCCCTGTCAGGGTGACGGGTGATGGAGGAAGGGAGTGAGGAAAGGGAAGGACGGGGTGTTTCACCTTCTCCTCTTTTATTTCTACCTTCATTCTCTTCTCTTAATTCACCCTTTTAACTCCCCTGTGCCCTCTTCTTCCCTCGGGGGAGCTAAACATGACACGGCGGCAGGTTAAAGCACCCCTGGAGAAGGTGAGGTTTATAAGTGACATCATTACTACTCCACTAAAAACAAGAAGGAAGAGACCAGAATTTAGTTATTTTAACCTGCAGCTTCTCTGTTGTTTTTTAGTTGTTTTGATATAAACTCAGTAGAGACCTCCTGCTGTCGTTCTTTCCCACGTTTTGCCCCATTCTGATAAGTAATGTGGACGTTTATTTCAGCCATTACCATCAGATCCGAGGCCTGACTTAACACGCGTTAAAAAACAAACTTAGCTCGTCATCAACCCCATGTAAATTTGCACCTTAATGCATTTTGTCTTTGCATATTTTATCTGTGTGTCACTGTGATGTCTTTATATTCATTATAATCATAACTGTACTGTTCTGTCAGCGCCGTGTTCTCTATAAATAATTCAGCCGAAGCACTCAGACCGCCAGCAGCAGGAAATCTGCCAGATCCAAGCGGTGAGAGTGACATCTAGTGGGATCTCTGTTTCATGTCCTGCATCCATTCAGTTTATTTAACAAAGATGATCTGACAAACAGGCAGATTTACATGAAATAAAAAATACTTTAACTCTAGAAATACTGTTTTTTTGGATCATATTTCAATATCAATGTAGACGTAGTAATTTAATTGGGAGTTTGTGATCTAGATTTCTATTAAATCTAAATTTGATCTGCTTGGGCTGGACTTGTGATCTGAACTAATTATAATGTTACACTGGAAAAAAACAGAAATCAAGAAAAGTCATTTTTTCTTAAAATAAGTGCATTTGCTCTTGGATTGAGGAGGTTAAAGAGTAATTTTGCCAATGGAACAAGACAATTTACATTTAAAATAGGAAAAAACAATTACATTGTCTTTTTTCAAGTACATATTATCTAATTATCTTATTTTAAGAGTAAAAATACTCACTCCATTGGCAAACTATCTCACTAACCTACTGAAATTAAGGGTAAATATACTTAATTTAAGACATTTTTACTTATTTCTAGATCGTTTTGCTAGTGCATTGTTATGTATTGTGGTAAAGCTGCAAATAAAGTGTCACAAACAGTGTCTTAGTATTGCATCCTGCTAAAACACTCGTTCCCCTTGATCTGGTCTTTTTTATGTTACAGTTGGATTATTTTATATGACAGAGCAGGAGAATGAAGCTGAGGCCTGCTTTATATATAAAAATATGAAAAGTGTGGGATACGTTTGTATTTAGGCTTTTATTTTGATACGCCTAAATCAAACTAAAGAGGAAGTGGCCTAATGCTTACTCTGGAGGAGCTGCACAGATCCACAGCTCATCTGAGTACATCAGAAGGGAAGTAAGCCATGGGGAATCTCTTTCAAAAGTTTGATTTATATCACATAAGAGAACATTGGGAACATTTAGAAGAAAACGTGTTCTGGTTGAATAAAATTTAAATCAATTTGGCCTAAAAGCAAAGTATGGTCAGGAAAGTTAACATCCCCACGGTGGTGGCAGTATTATGATGTGGGGATTCTTTTCATCAGCTGCAAAACTGATCAGAGCTGACGGGAAGAAGGATTAAACGAAATATCGGCTAATAGAAAGCTCTTAGAACATCAGAGGTTTAACTTCCGGTGAGATTGTGACTGGATTGTTTTTATATTAAAAGTACCAGTATCGGGTGGGGCCCAGATCCAGCACTAAAATGGTTTTATCGGTATCAGCGAGTACCAACAAATAGGGCACTGATACCATTTTGAGAGCCAAAAGTTTATTCAACTATTGTCACCCATTTCAGGTAGACAATAAAAGTTCTACTGGATTCACTTTGTATTAGTCTTTTTCCTGCTTCACGAAGGTAGGCAGCAGCTTGACACCATGATGGTAATTATTTTACATCCAAATAGTATGCAGTTCTTCATATACACACACACACATCAATTTCAAACAGATGGTATCAGTATCGGCCAATACTGCACAGCCAGGTATCGGCGCAACACTAATTAAAAGCAAGTTGATATTTGACAGTAGCTCAGTTTTTAGTTTTCCTTTTAAAGAAAATTTAAAAAGAAGATAATTCCTACCTAATTCCCCTACCACTTTAAGTTGTGGTTGTTTTGTGAGAAAACGTAAAATAAAACCTGTGTAAAAATAAGCAACTATGGCTAAAAATGTCTCCACTAAAAATGATCGTCCTTTGAAACATAGAGAGTTGAAAGAACTACTGCTGCTCCTCCAACAGTCTGGTTTCGTTTCTGTTTTTCTAGAGAAAAATTCATAGGCTGTTGAGAAAAAAAATTTTTTAGCTTATATTGCTGAGTTAGCGGTTAGCAATCCGTTTTGAAACTGTCCGGTGTTCTTATCTTTTGTTTTTCATTTGTAGTTGAACATAATTGAACTTTATTTATCTCACATTGGAGAAATTAACTTTGCATTTAACCCATCCCCTTGGGGAGCAGTGGGCTGCCATTGTGCGGCCCCAGGGGAGCAATTAGGGGTTAAAGGTCTTGCTCAGGGACCCAGAGTAGAGGATGCGGGATTCAAACTGGGTTCTTGCAACCTTCTCAGAGCAGAAGCGCCCTGCTCTAACCACTAGCCCAACACTCCCCGGCACTACGAAATATTTAAAACAGAACCACACAAGTTATTTAACTTAAAATAGCTGACATTTATCTAGTTAAGGATCAAGTTCTGGGAAAGGAGCAGAACCAAGAGAAGATTCTGGCATAAAAATAAAGCACTAATTAGGAATAAATTGAATTTAAATGTCTGTTTGTCAGATCAAATCATGGTAAATCTAGTTTTTTGGGCAAACGTGACCTCATTCATCACCCTAATGTTAGCGACCACAGAGTTTATTTTTGAGATTTAAAAAAGGAAGGATTGTCTGAATGACAGTCCTGTATCAGAGTGTATATATGTAAAAACAAATGTACAAAAGATGTTGATGAAGACGTGAAAGAAATCTAAAAATGTCACACTACGATGTAAATTGAGATATAAGAGGAACTGCTGCTAAGGTCTGTAAATTGCACTTCAGTAACATAAAAAAAAAAAGTGAATGTTTGTACTGTATATGTGAATAAAACGACTAAATCTTGTAATTTTACTTCTGCCTGTCTGGTTTATTTTCTTTAATATTGGTCTATTTCTACTTTGTCACGATTACCTGTCAGTGTGATAATGTGCTGACCCTGGAGGGCCGCCGCACATTATTAGAGAGACCTCCCCTCTGCTGCGTCTCCCCAGGGAAATCCATGGGGAAATGGTTATCTCTGATAGGCTCATGGCAGGTGTCACACAGATCAGCAGCCGAATTAGCCTGGAGGATGAAAGAGGAGTCCAGAGGAGGTAGCTATACCTCATCCAACCTTTTCCCTGCAGCCACGGTCAGCTCTCTGCTCCACAATAAACTCCATAATTGACAATTTGATCCAGCGGCTGGCCGCGGCCGGACAGCTGTAATCCAATGGACAGGGGCAAAGAGAAGCTCCATGCTTCTTTATTCTGTCTCCATGTTAATACTGCTGGTCAGTGAGGATAAACTACACAACACATAATAAACCACGTCATCTTAGTGCCGTGAGGTTTCACTATTATTCTGCAAAAATACGGAGGCTGTTGGAAGTTCATCAGTAAATTTCTCTTTTTTTGGCTTCACCCAGTTCTATTAAAGGACCAATCATTGGCCACCCCTTCCATTTTTCCCCTCTAATACAGATTGTTGCAGCAGCAATACTCTCAATTCAAAACATTTTAATTTTTTGTGGTTAATTATACACATCAATATACCAACATCTAATATGATAAGTACATATTTTCATGCTCTTTTCAGAACTAGATTTTGTGTTATATTGGGTAAAGAGAAAATTATGTGTCTCTGCAAGTCATCTAGGAGTCTTCAGTGAAATCATAAATAACAATTTTAATAAAAACTTATCAAATAATCAATTTATTTAGATATTAGTGCTTGTAAATATACATTTTATGCAGAATGTTTATTGACACAAGTAGGTAAGTAAGGACGATGGAAAAGATTTACGCCTCAACTCAAAACTGAAAGTTTTATCCACTATACCTTTTATCTAACAATGACGGATGTTTAAATAAATGCGTCTAATTGTTTGCAAACGCTGTGGGAAAGTATAGTTTTTCTTTATTTAGAAAATATGTGTTTTTTTGCTCGTTAATTTTCCTGTTGGAACAGTGTAGATGGACCCTGAGGTTCTGGTCCTGATCCGCTTTCGGCCAGCCCTCAGTGTACATTGGTTATTGCCTGGCCACCCGTATAAAAATGTTCTGGCTATGCCTCTGTTAAAGGGCTCATAGAATGCAAAACCGAGTTTCCATTGTCATAGATGAATAACGATAGTTCAGTGGGTGAAATGGACGTACAGAGAAGTTCAAACCCCATCAACACCACCTTTCTCTGCAAATCTCACAATTCTAAACTTCCACCATAAAACGGGCGAATCCAAACTCAGGGATGTTGCCTTATTTGGTTCTGGCCTGTACTTTGCCCTGCCATAAAATTGACACTCAGACCAGCCCACTGGTTCAAAGGCCCAAGAACATGAATAGAGGTCGATGTAAGACAGCAGTTTAGCTGTTTATCCTACCGTTGGGTTTACTTCTACAGTACAAGAATTACAAAGCAGGATGTTTCTCTATTGAAAATGAGCCAGAACTATGTCAATGCAGTGTTCCACGCAGCACGGAGAAAGGGGAACATTTTCACAGAAGATCCCTGTAAAGTTTGATGCTCAGCTGTTCTTTTGCTCTATGCGTTTTACCGAAGACAAGCTTTAAAATCTTGTAAAGGTTCAAAGCAGTATTTGCTAAACTTCTTTTACTGAAACGAGGGGCTATTCCCACCGTAAGGCCATCACAACCGCAAGCTGG